GCATGTGGAACAGGAGATCACACAGCGACCATTATGGAAAATAGCCAGTTACACTGTCCCAGACTTCACATTTATATGTTTTAGTGCCTGCTGGATATTGCCACTTGAACATCCCAGGCACTTAAAAGAAAGCATGACCAAAACTCACCCCTTCTTCACACCGGCCTTTCCCCACTACCCTCCTTGCCCAGTGAGAAAACTGCCTTTTGTGTCTAAGTTAATGGTGTCCCTGTTACCAGTTATGCAAGCCAGATCTCCTCTTTCCTTAGATAAGTGAGAATTTTCATTGTGTTTCCTCCCAGATGCCCGTGGAATTTACATATACTAAACTCTATTGTCAATCTTGAGTTTAAGCCATTATCTCTACCTTAGATTGCTATAACATTCTATTTAACTCCTGTATTTTCATTTAATCCTTAACTATATGAAATGTGATTGTAAAGTCACATGATTGGATTTGAGAAAGTAAGCCTAACAGAATATACACATCCAAAAGAATGTTAGTTTTCAAAGTAATCCCTAACATTTATGCAGTGTTTTATAAATGTTTAAAATTGCTTTCACATGTATCGTCATAGTTGAATCAAATCGCTGTTCTTAATTGGTCCTATATTGTCTTTATTGTTTGGGTTACAAGCTTCTTTGAGAATAGAATGAGTTACGACTCTTTCTACAATGGAACAGTGCTTGCACACACAATTTGAGATGGTTCACAGAAGCACTGAGGTTAAGAACTTTTGTAGTCACATACCATTCTTTGTACTTGGCTCTAAGCTACCGTATTTCCCCATGTATAAGACGCACCCTTTTCTGAAAAATTTGTGGTCTAAAAACGGGGTGCGTCTTATACAGTGGTTGTAGGGGGTTTTTTTACTTTCATTTCCCACTTTTTTCGCGCTTGTTTTTGCACTCATACAACAATTAAGCACTATGTGGGTTTTAGTCTGAGTATGCTATTTCTTAATGTGATGCTTTAATCGTTTTTTTCTTATTTTTTTAAAACAATTGAGAATTTATTCTTGATTCTACTGTTGAAGGCCAACCTGAAGCAAACTATTTCTAAGCTCTAATTCATTAAAACAGTAAGTTTTCTCAAAGGCTGTGTTACTGGACATTGATTATATGTTAAGAAAATTGAAAGTGAATTCCTTTTCAGCATAGGGTTGAATGCTCCTCTGAGAAGTTGTAGAGGTATACAATAAATGGTAGTGGACAGTTGCTGAAACCCACCTGGCTTCCCCTCATTTCTTTTAACCACTCTATAGCAATGATTCTAAAACCTGTTTGTAGTATGTCAGAATCCCTTGAAGCCTTGTTAAAATCCAGATTGTAGGACTCCACATTCGAGTTTCTGATTCAGTAAGTCGGGTGTGAGGCCTGGTGATGCTGATGCTGCGGGCCCTGGGGTCAACCCTGGACCCTGTTCTGTAATAAGTTTACCCTGATAGTTGTAGAGTGAAGTGTTCAGTTCAATTGCATCATTTAATAGAAGGTTTCTTAAATATAGCACAATGTATATTGTGTGATGTACTACTTTTAAGAGTACAGAAACTAGTTTCTGAATCACTACTTCCCAGCTTTCTGACCTTAAACTTATTATTTAATCTGATGCATAGTTTCCTCATCTGTAAAGTGAGGAATTGTCTTTTGAGGATAAAATTAGGTAATGTATGGAAATATGTTTGTTTAACCCTCCATCGGGCGCAACTGATCTCACAGATTCATTGCATACAAACTTTCAAATATCTAAGTTAACTGAAGTATCGTGACTCATTGCTTCCGTATCTTCCCCCTCTACCGTAATCTATCGCCAGTCGTGTTTGTACTTAGTAAAGACGTATTTCCTAGCGGCATCTTTGTGTGCAATGAATCTGTGAGATCAGTTGTGCACGACAGAGGGTTAAACTATATTGCTATACAAATATAAAGTAGTATTGCATATTCAGTATAATTCAGCTTGTTTTAAAATACTGTGGTTTATAATACTGTTACTTTCAATATTTTGATAAATACTTATTCTCTCTACTTCCTCCCATTGCCCCTTGTCCTTTTAATCTTGATTACTTTGCAGAGATAGTGTCTTTCAGTTTAAGTGGCCTTGGATGGCTTTGAAAGGAAGTATATTAAAATGAATATAGGCAGTCTAAGTGGGACTCTAAAAATGTAAGCATTTTGTGGAACCATAAAGATAACTATGCAAGCTAAAAACATGCCAGCAGTGTTAATCAATGGGGAAAATTGTGATTGTTCTGTGATCTTTAAAGATTTTGTCAAAACATTGAAAACTCTTTTCCTGTGGACTATAAATATGGAGGGAAATGAAAAAAGTAAAACTCACAATTAGTACAGGGTAATTTAAAACTTCAGAAACATTGAAAATTAGTGTTATATTTCTATAACACTAAAAAAAAGAACTTACCAAGATCATTTTGAACAGTGCTTGCCTTCTTGTATAACTTAAAATATGGAGATAGGTAGATATAAATAAATAAACAATATAGTACTATCAGAATTAGAGAAATACTGTATTCAGTATAGCTTGTGTTGGGTAGGTTTTATTAGACTATTTAAATGCAGATATGTTAAAAAATAATGGAATAGAATAGAATGGTTCACAGAGTTTATAGGAGCCTTTGAACCATAATGTTTTAGAGGAAAGGTCAGCAAACCCTTTCTGTGAAGGGCTTTGCTGGCCAAGAAGAAAAATCAAAGATATTATGTAGATATTTACATACCAAGAGAAAACAAGTTTCCACAACGTTTTGATTATGCAATTCAAAATAATAATCAAGTATAAATTTTATAATCCTGGTCTACTAATGAGAAAAAGAATGGAATTATTTTAGGGGGGATAACATTACTGTTCATTGGGCTTCCAAATTAGTGTCCCCTATCATCAAATTGCAGATGGTCAGCTGTGAAAACTGTTCTTAAATTCATGAGCTATGCAAAAACGGGGTGGCACAGCTTTGGCATGGGAGCCATAGTTGGTAACCCGTGTTTTAGAGTATAAGCATACTTCGTTTTATTGTGCTTCACAAATGTTGCATTTTTTAAAACCGAAGGCACAGCTCTCCACCAACAAAAAGATTATGATTTGCTTTGTTGCAATAACTCGCTTTGTTGATGGTCAGGAACTGAACCTGCTATCTCTGAGGTGTGCCTGTATGAGGGACCTTTGCAGTCATCTAGTCATTAGTGGAGAATGGTTTCTCACGGTCACCAGTTATTTAGTGACAGGTGGTGTCAAAACACAGTGCTCCTTAAAATGTTATGCTACCTCTGGTTTTCTGAACTAATGTAGTATTTACTTAACCAGAATGCCCTTTTCTCTATAAATGAAAATGCGCCTTACACAGCGACTGCTGCCTCCCCCCTGCCTCCTCCCGTCTCACACCTTCTTTTCTACCTCACCTGATTTTTAGCAACACCCCAGCTTCTTAAATCATGACTCAACATAATAATGAAAAACACTGTTTTAATTCTTTTATGAAGATTTGTGGCAATAAATACACCATTTGTCCCTTATCTGTACTGTATTTTTAAAAGTGATTTAAATTATTTTAATAACATGTATTGGTGAACTATACAAGTTTAGTAGCTGTACGCAGGTTAAATATTGTGAATTTTTATTAAGTAGTATTTTAAATACCTGCAGATAATATTTTTACGTTCCGCTTCCATTCCTACCACCAGTATAATGGAAAGAGGTTTGGTCCACAGAGAAATAGACTGAAATACCAGATATCAAGTGCTTGGCACAGAGTAGGTAATGAATAAATCATGTATCTAGGATTTGACAGAGTCACTTTATAAAGGATTTAATATAGTCAGTACATGATAGTTTTTAATAATTATTAAACTTTTAGCCTAGTCGTTTATAATATCCAAATTTAACACATTTTTCTCAGTGTTCAGAGATCAGTTTGAATGGTGCTTGCCTTACATAACTTATAATATGGGGATAAAAATAAATAAGTAATATAGTACCATCTGAATTAGCAGAGAAACAGTACATTCAACAGAGATCTTGTGACACTTACGTAGTATAATGGTTGAAAAACCAGGATCTGAAGTTAGGTTACCTAATTCTGAAACCTGGTTAAACGTGATTGGCCACACACCCAAGCCATGCAGCCCTTGCGCAAGTTGTATAACCTCTGCCTCAATTTCCTAATCTTTAAAATGAAGATATATTAGTATAGCCCTCACAGGGTTATTACGAGGCTTAACTGTGTTAGTACATGTAAAATGTAACAGTGCTTGGCACATTCTAAGTTCTCAACTGTTGGCTGCAAAAATAGTAATTATTATTACATTTAAATGCTTTTTTCCACATTTCAAACAAGTTTAATCAATTAAGCAGATTCCCCAATCTATCAATGAAGTTTAAGACTCTTCTATTATAGTTTGTATTGATCTAATTTACCTCTTCGCTTATAAACTGAGAAGGGAAAATTTCCCATCAAATTGGACACGTGTATTTTACAGTGTCTTGTATAGTCATAAGTAGAAAAATTGGTTAAATATTAGTATTTAAGTACATGGTCAGGAAGTTATAGTTTTGGCCTAATATTCTCTTTGAAATAGTCACAAAAGTAGTACATTGTGTTTTTTTTCCTCACTCGACATGTGCCTTATGTTTTGTGACTTGAACACAGCATACATAATATTCTGTTCTTAATATTAATGTTTCTGGTTAATGTAAATAGTTACATGACCAAAAAAAAATACTTTGAGAAAAGGAAATGATTTGGGAGTTAGTAATCTGCAATTGTATTTATTCATATTGTTGTTAATATATAATTGTATAGTTTTATAAAATTAATTGTGTATATTAATACATTCAGCTGCAACAGAATTTTAGTACCTAATTGTTTTTTGAATTTGCATGTTTCCCAATTTGTTATAGAAGTTACAAATTAGTTTATGAAACCTGTAGCCAAATTACTTAATCTTTCTCTTGTCAAATTTTCTAATGTATGCTTTTTTCCCCCCAGAGGAAATAAAAGCAGAAACTGAAAAACAGAGGTTAGTGGGGTTTCTTTTCTTTAGTAAAAATAATTTTCAAACTTGTCTTGGCCAAGATAATACAGTCATCTATCTATATTTTAGCATGGCAAATTTTCTGCATGTGATCTTGATAATAAAATCAATTTAAAAAATGGTATTTAAGAAATATAATTATAAACTACTTATAAATATAAAAAGATCTCCTAAATAAGTATATAAGGGAATTTCTGAAATACCATAACATGCTTTAAAGTGTTTAGATAGACTTTGATTCATATTTAGAAAGGCTACTAAATAAGTATTTAATCTAAATTACTTTGTATAAAATAAATAATTACTTTAATTTCTTTGATTTTTCTTGCATTTAGTCACAACTCTGGCCACTAGCTTTTCTTTCACCTGTAGCAAATCACCTAACTTCTCATGAAATAAGGGAAGATGAATATTGGTTTAACAAGGTTCTTTTTAGAACTGAAATTCTGTATTTTAATGAGTTTATCATCAATATGATAAACGTGGCACTGTAATCAGACTCTTCTTTTTCATTTAGTCCTCCTCATGGAGAAGCAAAAGCTGGATCAAGCACTCTTCCACCAGTGAAATCAAAGACAAATTTCATTGAAGCAGACAAGTACTTCCTACCCTTTGAATTGGCATGCCAATCCAAATGTCCCCGCATAGTTAGTACATCTCTAGATTGTTTACAGGTATGTATAAAATGGTATTAACTAAATACTGTCTCATTTAAATGTTTCTAAACATTGATGATTCAGACATTTTTGTGAAACCCTTTAATACTCCTTTTGGTAAGAAGCCAAATGGTTTCTTATATTAAACAGAGACGGTAATAGTTGCAAAAAAATTAGTTTAAGGGTAACAAAAATCATTAGTTAGCTTAGTGAATCACAGAATCTTTACTGAGTTTATCAATAATGAAAGTGTTGATTTTTTTTCTTTTTCCATCAGTGAAGTGCAAAAACCATAAGTTTTAATCTGCTGCTGACTTTACATACATCATTATTTGCAAATGACTTTACTAAATGGCTGCTATTTTATACAAATTAACAGATTTTGTACGGTATTATTGACAGCTTTGTATTTATATTCACTGTTGGAGTATAGCTCTAACCTTCACTTATGCCAGGAAAATTTATTAAGGCTTTCATTTTGTTGTACTTACACATGCACACGGGGCTCGTTTTACATATTTGTGAGGCAAACCTTCGGATAGAGAGGTCCTTCTCTTCTCAGGTGTTCTCACTGTTGGGGAATTATACCTGTTTAACCAGCAATTCAGTGATTAAGAGAAGACTATCCTTATGATTTATTTTAATTTTTAAATTCTTTTTACGATTTGTTTTTAAGATAGGTTAAGGATAAGATCGTTTGATTTGTGACCTCGTTTTCCTTGAAAAATTAAATTGTAATAAACGAAGGCCTTTCAGGGCTACACTGGCAATGATAAATGAACAAATCCATGAATTATTGCAGCCAGTGTATGAAAATTGGGTTTTTTTGCAAATACACAGATCCAGTTGGGAAAGAGATTTGGGGTCATTAAATGAGTTAAGATAGCTTCCACAAAAGCAGTGTCAGTCATGTTTAGATAGAAAGCAGGAAGCTATTCTAACTCACCAGAGACAAGTTCTAATAAGGCCTGGCTTTCTCAGAGTATTTCCTAATGGTTTTGTTGTAGTGATTCTGTTTTTGTGGTTATTCCAGTGTAAATAATTTCACATGTTTATAACTAATAAAGCTTTGCTCAGGAGAAGTTGGTAGAGCTTTGGCTTTGATTATACCTTAATGTAGTTTATGTAAAAATTTTAATATATACTCAATTGTATATTGTAATTTTAATGTATATTTAATAGTATACATATGAGTTAGCTTAATTAGGATTTTTATTTTCTTCATTTCAGAAACTTATTGCTTATGGGCACTTGACTGGCAATGCTCCAGATAGTACAACACCAGGCAAAAAATTAATTGATAGAATTATTGAAACAATTTGTGGCTGTTTCCAAGGCCCTCAAACAGACGAAGGAGTTCAGTTGCAAATAATAAAGGTAATGAATAATATAAAGCGAATTTGTTATTTATAATCTACATTTCTTAAAAGGCTTTTACCTTGAAAATATTGGAAAGGTCATTTTGTGCTTCCCCGGTATAATAGAGGTGACTTGGGTGTTTTTTAGACCCCATATCAGGATTTTGTTGCTGAATGTCAAGAGTTCATTAGAAATAGACTATATTTCCAAATCTCTTATTTTAAAGATCGTAAGTTAGGCTTGGGCCCCCAGAGTCTTTCAGAGTTTTTCAGTTTTCTGTACATATTGCATCTTTAGAGCTTCAGGGTCCCATGTGAAGGCCCCGTGACCCCTCTAGTTATTTCTGTACTTGGACCCCTGTAGTCTGCCCTCTAGACCCATGCTTCACCATGTGGACTACTTGTGCCCAGCCTGTCCTGGTTCCCTTCCACCTGTGCACCTGCTGAACCTGCTCAGCTAAGCCCTGTCCTGGGTTTGTGCTGTGATATTCCTGGATGATTAACTCCTTTAAAGAAAAACCACTCAGTTAGGTTTTCAATCTTGTCATAAATATTAAATTTAATGTTACTGGTAATGGTAATGGTGCTATATTTATATACCGGTATAATTTTCTTGTACTAATAGTACTTTTGAATAGTTTACATGTATAAAGTGTTCCTTCACATGTGAATATAGCCCTTCTGAGCCTTTCAGTTTCATAGCTGTATTTATTTCACAAGTCATATGGAATCTTTATTCTAAAAACGCTGCCCAGTCAGTTTGGCCTATCATTTGCATTTTTATGTCAGTCATGGTTTATCTAGCATCTACTCAGTGCTGACTCTGCTTAGCATTGTCCAACATAAAAGGACAAAAGAATGAGCTCTTGCTTTGGGGAAATTGCAAGTAACAATGTGAGAAAATTCCTAAATTAGTTACTCACTTTATTGGAGGATTCACCTTAAGATTATTTTAAATGCTTTATTCTAAAACATTTGTAAACATCTTTACCGATAACAATAGCACATTTATTGAGTCCAGTCTATAAAAAAGATCTCAGAAAAATCTGGAAGTGAATAAGACACAGTGTGTATCCTCCCAGTTGACAATCTAGTTCAGGGGTCGGCAAACTGTTGAGACAGAAGAGCCGCCGGGGTTCGGCAAACTGCGGCTCGCGAGTCACATGTGGCTCTTTGGGTACATACATGTGGCTCTAAAGTAAAATTGAAAATGAAAATAAAACTAGCATAGTTTCACTTATAAAATTTTTAAAGGATATTATTCACATAATGGTGATTATGTAAAAATATATTTATGGCTCTCGAATAATTTTTAAATTATAGGACAGGATTGGCTCTTCCAGGCGTCGGCAAACTTTTGAGACGGAACCTACCCAAAGAGCAGCATGTGGCTCACAAGCCACAGTTTGCCAACCCCTGATCTATAGTAGCTCAGCAGATATATTGTATGAAGTGTATCTGTGCTCTACTGTGAGAGTTTTAATGTGCATTTTAATAAATAAATTAAATATTAAAGTGAACCTTGGGTTGAAATGAATGAATGGTTTTCTAGTGTTTTGGGTTTGGGAGGATTACGTATGTGGAAACTTGCCAGAATGAGGACAACATAAAATATTCTAACAGTTGATGATACATTCAAGGCAGGTAGGAATTTTGTTAGTGTATGTTGAAAATCCTGTTAGTGTGTACCCGAAAGTGGTGATGGTGTCTGCAAGTTTTCATTCTAATACAGAAACACTCATATATTTTTGTGCTGAAACTCTGGATGTGGAAAATTGCTTTAACTTTTTTTTTTTTTTTTTAAGGCTTTACTTACTGCAGTAACATCTCAACACATAGAAATTCATGAAGGAACTGTACTGCAAGCTGTGAGAACATGTTACAATATCTATCTAGCAAGCAAAAATCTCATCAATCAGACAACAGCCAAAGCTACTCTTACCCAGATGCTAAATGTTATCTTCGCACGCATGGAAAACCAAGCTGTAAGTATTAAAAAAGAGAGATTGTACAGAACACTGCAGGCACCAAATACAGGAAAGAGTTTACAGAAAGTTATAATGAAATCATTTGTGTCTGTAGAGAAGAATGTCTTTCATTTATAGTTCTATTTACTGGAGAGCTTTGGTATTTTGTTTTGTTTTGAGGTTCACTGACTCGTTTGACTTTGGATACAAATATTTTTAGTTCACAAATAGAATTTGGACAATATTGATTGCCATCATCCTCATGGAAGTGTTTATTTTTTTATTTTATTTTTTTAATAGTTTTAGGTGTACAAAACAATGCAATAATTACACTTCACCCCTCACAAAGTGACATCTCCCCTCCCCCATCCACTCCCCTCCACCCCTGATATCATACATATCTATTACAATTCCATTGACTCCACTCCCCACACTGTACTCCACATCCCGTGACTATATATATATTAAATTATAGTTGACATACAGTATTATTCAATGGCAGCTTCAGATGTACAGTGCGGTGGTCAGGCCTCTACACCGTCTCATGGAAGTGCTTATGAATTGATATTTTTATTGCACTCAAGCTTAGATGAGCATAATGTAGATTACATATAAAACTACCTAATGTGATATATTCTGGTATAAAATTATTCATTGAGCCTTTAAAAAATTAACAAAATATATATCTATATTGATCAAATATATATTTTGGGGGTAACAGATCAGCTAGAGAATCATTTTACTTATTTATTTATTTAAATTATTTTATTGGGGACTTGGGTGAAGGGAACAGCTTTGAGGAATCGGGGAAGGGGAACAGACAAGTTGCTGTTCTTTTGTTCTTCAGTCTAGTTGTGGAGGACGTTGCTTCACTGCCCCAAGGTGGCACCATCATTGTGCTCTTCCTGGGTGAGGCAGATCATTCACCGGCTTCTGGACGGCTGCTCATGGTGGCTGCTGGCCGCTCACGCTGGCTGCTGGCTACACATGATAGCCCATGGCAACCCACTGCAGCAGGGGCTGCAGCCTACGCTATTGCCGGCGACTCATGGCAGCCCAGCTCCAGGTTGAGCTGTTGTTCAGCATCTTAGCTGTGGAGGGCAGTGTCACTGGCCCGCATATGTGGGATCCGAACCGGGGCCCTCTGGCATCCCAAGCCAGCTCTTAACCATCGTGCCACTCGGCCGGCCTGAATCATTTATTTTTTAATGTCATCTAGGTCCTCATAATTAAAAACCAACTTCTTTTTATTTTGAACTGATTTTAAATTTATGGAAAAGTTGTAAAAATGTTAGAGAGATTCCTTTCACCCTGCTTTCCTTAATGCCAGCATCTTACATAATCGTTTTACAATGATCAGAAGCAGGAATTAACACGGGTATGATACTATTAAGTCAATTACAGACCTTACTTGAATTTTACCCATTTTCCAGCTAATGTTCCTGTTTCTGTGTGAGCACCTGATCCAGGATCCCACCTTGCACTTAATATTCATTTAGTTGTTATGTCTTGGCCTTCTCCCGTTCTTGACAGTTTCTCAGTACTGATTAGTTCTGTTGAATGCCCCTCTCCGTTGGCTTTGTCTGATGTTTTCTCATGATTAGGCTGAGGTGGGCCATTTTTGGCTAGAATACTTCTGTGCAGTGTTGTGTCCTTTTCAGTGCGTCATGTCAGGAACGTATCATGTTGATATGTCTTGCTAATGTTATGGTAGTAACATTACTACCATTAGTTACTACTAATCAAGGTGATGTTAACCTTGATTACTTAAGGTGGTATCTGCCAGGTTCTTCCACTGTAAAGTTACTAGTTATTCTCTTGCAGTTAATAGATATCTTGGGAGAGGTATTTTAAAACTATGCAGAGATCCTGTTTCCTTCTCATACTTCCCCACCCCCAATTTAACTGTCTTGAGTGTATCTTGTTGGCAACAGTTATTTCTGTGGTGTTTCCCTAATGTTGAGTCTGTTTTTTTCTCTCTCCTTCTGTATTTATTAACCACACTATTTTCCTTCTTTCCTATTTATTCAGACTTTTTTTATATCTGTATTCATAGATATTTATCTTATTCTATTGGTTATAATCCAGTGCTATCATTATTTTGTTGCCCATGGTATTGCAGCTTTGACCTTGTGTCCTTTTGACAAGCTCCCATCCTTTTTTGAGCACCTCCTTTTGGGAATCTCAGGATGTTGTAGGTTGATTTTGAATTTTCTCTGCTTCAGCCCTGGAGTCACCCACTTCAACAGGGAGCCCTGGCTACTTCGATTGGAGCATGGTGTGTTCATTACCACTGGGGTGTTATTGCTTCCAGACCCTCTCAGCAGGTAGAACTAGGAAATACACACATTCACCCCACCTCCCTACCTTCTAGTCCCCACACCTGTGTGTGACTATCTGTATATATTAAAAACCATGTGGTCATATTGATACGTGTGATTCCAGTCCAACATTACAGGGTTCATTTCAGCCTTCTCCCTTTATTTGTAACTTCCTCTTTCTAAATATTGAGACATACAGCTTCCATTTTCTATGACATTATTTGTTCAGTCCTGTTATACACACAAAATAGTTTTATAATTGCTAACCTATGCCACTGTGAAAGGCAAATTTACTAAGTGGATTACAGCATTTATATTTAGTTCTTTTGTCTTTAGCCTTATAGTTTCCACTCCAAATACTGTTTTCCAAAGTTACTCAGGTTAGTTCTTCACACTTTTCTATGAGATAATGTTATTACTTTATAATATAATTAAATTCATGTATTACTGCATGTTTCCCATTTCAGTACCCCTCACATTCCGGTTAGCTTTAATTGTGAATGTTTTGAGTGTGTTAAACATTGCTATGATTTAAGCGTGCGAGCTACATAAGGGTGTACTCGGAAGCACCGCTGCCTCCTCATTCCTGCCACTGGATTCCTCTTACTTCCTCTTTCCACCCCTTGGACACAGCTAATTGCTTTCATTTCCAGTTTAGCTTTCTGCATTTCTTTAGCACAAATGAGCTGATAAAGGTGTGGTTTCATGTATCACCTTTCTTACACAAAAGGTAGCGTCCTGTTAGTTATCACTGCATAACAGATCACCCCCTGCTGGGTGCTTGTGTCTTGGATTCACATGAGTTTGCAGTTGGCTGAGTGGATCACAGTGTCAGCTCAGGCTACAATCATTTAAATGCTTTACTGAGCTAGAGAATAGCTTCCAAGCTCACTCATTTGGCTGTTGGTGAAACGCCTCCATTCTTCACTATCTGTTGGCCAGAAAGGCCCGAGTTTCTCATGTGAGTCTCGTAGGGCTGCTTACAACATGGCAGCTGGCTCCTGCCAGGGTAGATATCAGAGAGCAGCAAGACAAAAGCTGCAATGTCTACCTTATGACCAGAAGTGGTCACCCAGACCTTCCCTGCAGGGTGCATTGTGGCAGGGGACTGTGCAAGGAAGCGAAAATTAAGAGGTAGAGATCATTGGTGGCCATCTGAAAGGCTGGCTGCCACACATGCTATGGATATACTCTTTTGTACTTTCTCGCTTAGCAGTATACCTTGCAAAGCATTGCATATCAGTCCTTAGAGATCTTCCACATTCGTTTTTTACAGATGCATAGTACTCTAGGGTGGACTATAGTCTCGATGCAGTCACTGTCCTCTGTATTAACATTGAATTATTTCTACTATTTGGCATCCACAAATAATAGCTCCCCTGCTTTTTTAAAGAAGTGAATGAACGGGAGGGTGAACTTAAACAGATTATCACACAAATAAGTACGTAATTGTGATAAAGGCTGTGAACATGTTTCATGTCATGAAGGATATTTAGTTCTATGCTATGGACAGTTATAGAAAAGTAGGAAAGGAGAGAGAGAGAAAATAAGGGGGGGGCAGACTGATTTAACTTACACATTTGCTAAAATTCTAAGCCAGAAGTCTAATTCACTTACATGTACTACTGATAGCCTTTCTCCTGTTCCCCCCCCCCCATAAAACTATAAGATGTTCAGTTCTAAGATTATTTTAAAGGAGAAAATGCTAAATTATTTTCTCTAGAACATAGTTCTCAACTGGAGGGGTTTTTGTCCCTGAAGCCACATTTGAGACATTTTGGATTGTCATGTCTGGGGTGTTCTGGCGCAGAGGGGCTAGAGCATAGGGGTCTCGTTAAACACCTGCAGTGCACAGACAGCACCCCCAACAAAGAATCCCCAGTCAGAATGTCAGAGCACCGATGTTGATAAACCTGACTCTAGAAAGTATGGAAGTGTATAGAAAGTGTTTAAATGGTTTTTTCATACAGTAACATTTCTTCTTTTTTTAAGGATATTTCTTGAGTTTCTACAACTCTGGAATAAATAGAAAAAGCTAGAATTCTACACCTTGCTTGTCTGTGATTCCAGAGCATGAGCTTCCCCCACTAACCCATGGTGCAACGATTGGCTGAAGTTAGGCTAAGGGTGGGATTGGATTAAAAGTCATAGGTTCCTTGCTGTTAATTTGGAAATTGACTTGCTCATGAATGGGCTAAAGTATAGGTCTGAGAATTCTGTTCTGATTCCAGCTGTGTAACTAGTCATGCCAGGCAGTTTCCTTATCTGTAAAATAGGGATTTAGACCGTATATATAGACTATGGTTCTTTGTACCTTTCGGGCATTGAAATCTTTTAATTCAAATTTTATTTATAAATTTATATAATTTTGGTATTTCTACATAGCTTGGAATATTACTAGGGAATATGAAATGTTCATATTTGACACTGTGAACTATTCATCTTTGTGGAAATTCTGTGAGAATCATTCTTATTAGGTTCTGAGGACCAAAAGAGATGTATCTAAAAGCAGTAAAAAATACTAAAAGATGAAGCCCTGTGATCCTGGTGGTTACTATTTTTAGCATCTTATAAGTGAGCCAGTTTTACAGGTAGTATTATATACATAATAATGACTGGTCCCCTAAAATAAAATGAATGCTTGTAGATAGAGGTTTTTCATTTTTGTTAGGTGACTGGGCATAGACATTTAAGTACTCATTGGAATTTTATTTATTAAATGTAATTTTATTATATTTTAATTAAAAGACGTTTGGCAAGGTGACATTAGAACGTAGTACAGACGGGTATACACTGGAAAGTTTCCTTCCTAACCCCCAACCCCTATAGGTAACTGTTATTACTAGTTTCTTACGTATCTTTCTAGACTTTGTTTCTGTATGTATAAATAAAAATGAGAGTGTGTATTTTATTTCCCCCATTGACTTTTCCTTCTCCCTTAGTGAAACTACTTGATTTTTAGGTAAATCCATTATTGGCAGCAATCCAATTATTATTCTGAGGCTATTAAACAGTATTTGTTTTTAATTTTTGTCTTGTGTGGATAATATGTTTACATCATTCAAACTCCAGAAATAGCGAACGGAGGATATATAGTGCAAGACTTCCATCTCTGTTCTTGTGTGTCAATTTCCGTTTCCCTAAGAAGTAACCACGGTTAACTTGTTTCTGTGTGTTAGTATAGTTCATGTTCTTTGTTTCTGATGGACTATAGTTTATAGTCCTAGAGACAAAGTGGCACTTTATATAAAGGATTTATAGCTCTGTGTAACATTATCCCTTCTAATTTTAAACACTTACTTTACAAATATTGGAAATTATTCTATTTCCAGCTGCAGGAAGCCAAACACATGGAAAAGGAAAGGCACCGGCAGCAGCAGCATCTGCTACAATCTCCAGTCAGCCACCACGAGCCCGAGTCCCCTCCCCTCCGATACCTGCCACCTCAGACTGTTGATCACTTATCCCAGGAACACGAAGGAGACCTTGATCCTCACACAAATGATGTGGATAAAAGCCTTCAGGACGACACTGAGCCTGAAAATGGATCTGATATTTCCAGTGCAGAAAATGAACAGACTGAAGCAGATCAGGCAACTGCAGCCGAAAGTAATCCTTTTGAGAAGGGGTTGTGGTGGTGGTGGTGGTGGGGGGGGTGTAATGTGTGTTTTAAGAGAAGAGTGTCGAAATGCATTTTGGATTAAGAAATGTGGAAAGAGTAATATGACTTAATGGATGTTAGACACATTGTGGTAATTGTGGACTTTCCATTCTAGGTGGTAAAGTTAATTTCACTTCAACCCACAAGACATCTGTTAGCGATACTATGCATTCATTAGAACCTCAGAGCAGTATGATTTATAGACTTGTTTTGGAGGAGATATGTTACTAAAGAGGGTTATAAATGTCTGTTGGCATGTTATATAGGAACTTAAGTTTTTTTTAAATTAGTTTCACAATAAATGAGACCTGGTTATTTAGTCAAGTTTTTCTGGAATGTGACTGAAAATTTTAGGAAATCATATTATTCAGAAAATATTATGGTCAGAGAAGTACTGAAATTAAATAGAAATGGAAATCTTTTGAGTTACCACCTAACATACAAAAATATTTATTTTTGTATTGAGATGTTCTCTGACAGTATTTTTTTCTAAGTAAATTTATTTATAAGAAAAGGTTACAAGATTATAAAAATTAAATTTTATTTATTTATTTCACAAATTAGTTTCCCTAAAAATAGTCGCATTTTCTCCCCAAACATTCTCAGTTTTAGCTTTTCTATAAAACTGGGTGTTTCCTTTGTTCCTCCTTTGGTTGGTGTCTGAAAATGATGGCAGTCCTGTTGCCTGTGCAGTGTGGTGCGGTTGTGTAGAGTGGGCATGGTTAGGACTCAGTTACATTATTTCATCTGAATTCTGTGTTTTTACTTCACTTTGAGGAAACACTTCTATATTTTCAGCTTTCGATTTTTTTTTTAACCACATCTTTTCCATAACGTAATAGTGGCATGAACATCAGCAGTGGCATAAATCGGTGTTTTTTACTATGCTTAATAGTACTTTACTCTTTATTTTAAAAGGGATAATTTTGATAAACCAAGCATTCACAGTACTCAAGCTAATAGTGAATCTATACTGCTTATCCAATTTGCATTTTTCTAGCCTGCTCTCGCCAAAATTTCCCCCTTATTTTCACTGTGAGTTTATAAAGGAGCTGATTGAACAGGCTGATCTCTAATAAAGCTGGAATGTTATTTATTCCTTCATTTCTTCATCCATGCATGCAGCAAATACTTGTTTATCATACTCTGTCCTAGGTACTGTCCTAGGACTCAGGGTTAAAAAGCTGATGGAGGTGCAGCCATTGCTCTGAGGATGCTCGTGGTCTGCCTGGATGGTCAGGCGTGTATAAATGAGGCATAATGTGATAAATATCCTGAAAGTGACATGTCTAATGTAACTGAGGAGAATTAGGAAAAACCTTTATAGAGAAAGTGATATTTTAGCTGAATCTTCTTGGAAAGGGGTAGGTATTGGCTAGGTAGAAAATTTAAGAAATTTTCAACAGAAGGAACAACATGGGATGAGACCCAAGGAATGAAATAACTTACTGTGTTGTGTAAGAGATACTAGTGTAGGTACCTTACAGGATACAGAATCATAAATAAGACATCATTCCCTGTGGCATAGTCATAATTATTTTGGCTTTAAGGGTATTTTTCTCCCACAGCTGATATAAATGAAATTTCTACCTGAAAACCATGGTTAAGAGAACATGGTCTGGAGTTAGATTCCTTACTTTGAGTCATATCTCTGTCACTTACTAGCTGTGTGACTTTGGATATAATTCTCTAATCATTTCCTATGTGAAATAAATATATTAACGTATTTCTGTCAGATGATTTATATGAGAACTGAACTCTCGATTCACCAGTCATTTTGTGCATATTTTAGAGACTGCATATATTTAGCTGTGTTGGAACCCTAATTTTCAGACTTGCTAATTTTAACCAACTAGAGCACAGAAATACAAAGTTTAAGAATTGTGCAAAAGTTATCTGTCAAGACATTTACATGTTTTTACTCCACAGAAGACTCTTAACTGCTGTTGTATTTGGATTTTTTTTTTTTAAATAAAGTAAAGTTACTTATTTGACATGCTTACTTATCAAGTTTCCCCTTGTGGCATTCAGTATTATGTGGAATGCAGCAAACAGTAGATTAGGATCAGTAAACAACAGGGAGGACAGGCTTCTGGAAGCCAGGATTATAAGTCATGATGCTTTATAGTGGTGGGGGTGGAGTAGGGGTGCAGACAGCAGTGCTATCAGCTGACATACAGTCTGATGCCGTTTGGTGTAGGGCAGAGGTTCTCAGAACAGGGTCCCGGGTCCCAAAGCGTCTTAAAGTACTAATTGAACCTTCCTGATAAGTTTTCAGCATTTCAAAGACCCAGTGGAAATCCTATTTTTATCTACAGTAGTCTAAACAAGTTAACTGGAATGCCAAATTTTATCAGTTTCTCTTATGCTGTTCAGAAGTTCTGATTGGCAGATATATCTGTTTTCATTAATGTTAACTTGGAGAATGAGTTATTTCTTACTAAAGTTAGTTTTACGTTGCATATGTAGGTTCTGTTGGGGAATAAATATTAAGGAAGGGCTGGAAAGCACTGGTGGAGACCCAGATGGCCCTCTCTCTGCTTCTTCAAGGACCTCATTATATGAAAGCACAAAGATGAGCCTAATTAATCAAAACAAACTTTAATTACATTTAATATATTATTTGGTGTGAGACATGTTAGAAATGTTTCATTCAAAATACTTTTAAAAGTTTTGGTTCTTAAAGGAATAATCTAGAAATTTCACTTAAGTTGTGTAATTTAGTAGTTTGTCAAATGAATCACTGTTGAAATTGACGTGAATTTATAAAATATTTTAAAATTTGGTTTGGTTATAAACTTTGAAGGTTTAACATATAATTGCCTCTAGTATCATTTATTTGAATTTTTGTCTTTTACCCATTTTTAAGAAAGTTTTTCATTATAAATGTTTAGTAAAAGTTTTCAAAATAAAATAATGTTTTCCTGATTTTTTTAAAGCATTATCTAAAAATGATATATTATATGATGGAGAAAATCATGACTGTGAGGAAAAGCCACAAGACATCGTACAGAGCATTGTGGAAGAAATGGTGAACATCGTTGTTGGAGGTAGTTTATTTCACTCGACGTTGGTTTATTATTTCAACAGACTATGGAGACTATTTTTATAATGTGGATTAAAACAGGCAAAAATATAAGCTCTTTCTCAAATCAGTATGTGTAGAAAATATATCTAAATATCTGTGCTTATAGAAGAGCATTCCTTTTTCCCCTGCAGCTTCAGTTACAGTCTTTATTATGGAAAACCCACTATTCCCCGCCCCATTAAAACAAAATGGTTATGCCATTTCATTTTTTATTTTGTATTTGGTGGAAGAGGGGCAGGGGTATATTCTCCATCCTCCTAAGTATGCTAAACTTTATAAATTAGAAAATGTTTCAGTTGATTTGGTTTTGAATATTTCATATCTTTGTTGGAAAAATCGGTGATTCTTATACCTTCATTATCATGATCAAGTCATAGGTGGTATAGAACCAGTTCCTATCTTATGAAATGTATTATAAAAAAATGACTTAAATTTTGTTAGGAATTTCACTCACATCTTCCTGAACAGTATTATATAGATAGGGTTAGATTTGAGACAAGTCCACTGAAGTGTATTTAATTCAAAGTGTCTTGCACAGGACTAAGCATAGTACCTTGCTACATATACTTCTAGAAGTACAATTGAATGCTATGAACCTATCATAGTTTCTAGGAATTCCTCCAAGATTTTGGTCCATTGATCATATCCTTCTTAGTTTTCAAGTGTTACTAAAGATTCTGTCTCTTGTTTATATTTTTCCTAGTTATTTCAGTGGGATTTGTCAAAGAAAAAGGTGAATTAGTGGGCTCTCTGTTCACCACCTTGAAAACAGAAGTCTGCACTTATGTTTAGGGGACAGTTAGAGGGAGAATTAGAGTAGAAAAATGTCGAACTCTATTAAGTACTTTCCTGTGTATCCCAAATGATTTTTTGTGCATTACTTGCATTTATCCCTCCCCAATAACTGGGATGTTTAGGTACTGTTACTATTCCTTTTTTTCCACAAATGAGAAAATTGAGGTACTGAGAAATTAAGTTAATTTGTAGGATCTTCTACAAGGTAAAATGCGGATTTCAAATCAAGAACGTCTGGCTTCATAGCCTGAAAATAAAATCAGAATGTTTCCATTTCCTTTGAGAAATTTACTAAGACGTGAAGAAGGAAAGTATTATCGATAGATATTTATTTTTCCTTTCAGAAATTTGATAAAAAGAGGGAGAAAAATGAACAGTAGCTGAGGTATGGCAAGAGTTGAAGGAAGATTTTTTTTTTTTAAGCGTGAAAAGATTTGAGTATGTTTGTTGAGTAATGGAGAAAATCCAGCCATATGTGTTTGCAATTGAAAATATCAGATTACATGAAAATACTCAGAAGGCAAGAAGAAATGGATTTGAGGGCGAATTAATGGTTCAACTTAGAAATGAGAGGGAAGCTAGGAATGGCTGCAAGGCTCTGCTGCTGTTGGCTGGGCGACTTGACTCCATTTCTGGGGCGGGTTCCACTGGGGAAGTTCCTCACATTCACTGGAGGTGTTAATGAGAAATATATGTCTAAAAGACAGGAAGCAGGAGAGACATGGAGGATCTTCCAACTGGATGGTCAGTTTCAGGTGTACACCATGGTTATTCAACATTTATATACTTAAAGAAGTGATCACCATGATAAGTCTAGCAACCATCTGACACTGTACCACGCTATCACAATATTATTGACTCTATTCCTCATGCTGTACATTACATCCCCGCCTTATTTGTTTTATACCTGGAAATTTGGACCTCTTATTTCCTTTCAACTTTTTTTCCCCCTTTTGAAATTTCTCAATTACAGCTGACATTAAAAAAAAAAAAAAGAAATGAGAGGAAAGAAATATTTTTTCCCTAAAATGAGAGGGAAGAAAAAAAGAGTAGTTGACATCAAGGTACTTTATAGTGGGGCAAGGGAGAGTGGGGAGGCCTACGTTAAATGACCTACCTCTTAGCTAAGTAGAAGGGGACAGTTGATTGTTCAGGGCAGGTGGAGGAGGGACTGTGGGAGGAGAGGTATTAGATGCAGAGAAAATGGTTTGGAATAAGTGTTTTTGGGGAATGTCTATCAGTTTGCAACAATCATTATTAAATTTTTTCTGACTTCTTCCAGAGAGTTATTTGTATGTATAGTCATTCTTTATGTAAGATATATACATATATATATAAAATTTAGCATGTCAAACGTTAACGTATTAAAGCTTCAGAAGGTCCACTGGGGAAGCAAGTGTATTGTGCAATATGGGGTTGCCCACATATATTTTATCAGTGAGTATCTTTTTCACGTACCACTTGTTAATTGCAAAATGTACTTTGGAATTACCCAGTTTAATTTGTCTAGGGTATTCTAATTTGGAGAGCAGAAAACAGTTTCAGAGTAGGGACACCAGATACAGACCTTTCATTACTTTAATAATCAGATTGGGCACATGTTATCAATTATCAACAAAATTAATAATAGCTACCACTTATTGAGAACCAATTGTGTTCTTTGTGTAGTGTGTGTGATTCCTCATAGACACTATCTTTGTTGCTGATGAAGAAACTGAGGCAAAGAAAGATGAAATAACTTACCCAGTTAAATAAATGGTGGAGACACGATTGAAATACGTCTTTCATATTCCAAAATGTGTGCTCCTTATAATACAGTTTATTTCCCTCATGCTAGCTTATAGTTTTCTTTATATTGGTGGGATGAAAGGAGCAGTTTCCTGCTGGATACCTACTGGGTTATGGCCACAGACATATATGTGTTCCTTTTTTAAAGTAACATAGATTACACCTTAGTGTAGCTCTGAAACTTGGTATTTGCATTATCTGTGTTCCACCAAAAGTTACTTATTTCAGTTAATATTAATTTACAAGTATGATGACCGAGAGTGACATACTGAAAAATATTCAGGGGTGCAGAGGTACTAATAGGTATTCTAAAAAAGGGAGAGAGCTCACGGTAAAATAAGGTTGAAAATACTACGTATTGTATATCGCCTTTGGAGAGTTCAGTGCATATAGCAAATAAAAGGCTCAAATAAAGAAACCTATTTCCCAGCATTTCCCTCCCCTTTGATAATGGAATATTTTTTCGAGGAATTTCTATTGCCATCTTAAGGCATTAGCATTCATTAGAACCCAGTTTAGTAAATGCTAATACAGACTAAAATTAAGCTTCTGTTTTGGCACAACCTGGTTAGCCTTTCATCAGCTGAATGTTTCATTGCTAGAGCTACTTAAGGATCATATTTGGATGGATTCCAAATGCATATTTACTTACTTGTGAGTATGCTAACCTTTAAATGGTGCCAATACATATTATTTCACATTGCTTTTCTGCCACTGTTTCATTTTAAATACGCCATGCCTTTTCAATATACTTCAGTTAAGTCAGATATATCTGCATGTTTTTTATTACCGTTTTAGATATGGGAGAAAGAACTACTATAAATGCAAGTACAGATGGCAACAGTGGAACTATGGAGGATGGTAGCGACAGTGAAAATATTCAAGCAAATGGAATTCCAGGAACACCAATTTCTGTTGCATATACACCGTCCTTACCTGATGATAGATTGTCTGTCTCTTCCAATGATACTCAGGTATAAATGGGGGTGGGGAAATCCTGTTAATCTTCTGGAGTCCTAGGCTACTAACACTTTGTGGTTGATGATACTGGCTGATTTCAGTTTGAGGAAATAAAAAACTTGGGTTTTTTTTTCTCATTGATATAAATCAAAGCAGTTTACTTCCTTAATAAATTGATAGCTAAATCTCCAACTCCACAGTTTCTTTTATGTATTCACATCTTCCCTACATCCTCCCCATTGAAATTACATTTAAAAAGAAAATTCTTATCTCACATTCATAGGATAATTAGTATCGTGGGATGAGAAAGAACTTTTAGAAATCTAGGGCTACAGTGAAATCCATACTATGGTAGCATGGGTCCCCTTCATCTTTCCTGTCCTATATTTGGTGGCTTTTTATCCTTATCTTTTTAAAGAAGGGATTTGTACCCTAACTCATTGCCCCATAAGTAGGGGTAAGTTTTCATGGCCTTGTTGACTTTCATCAGTTAACACTTAAACATTGTCTTGAGAGTCTCCATGGTTTTCTGTCTACCTGCACAGAGGGGATAAAAAGTAAAACAGGACAAAGACAGGAAACAGCCAGTGACAGGTAGAGGAAAGCATAATTTAGGCTGTGGATGAGGGATCTTATCAGGGCATGAACTGCTGGCTTTTGTTAATAGTAGTCTGAACTGAGCCAATTTTAAGAGTTTATTTGGTGGCAAAAGAGAATATATTTAAATAATGCATTTTTAAGGTATTGTTGGGGGTGGGGGTCAAATGTCAAATTAAAGAAAAATATTGTGGCAAATTCCTCATCTGGTTTTGCTTCCAGAAAGAACCCCACCTATTACTGAATTGAATAAAATATATATATGAAAAAATTTTACACTGGCAAGTATCTTAATTACATGGTATTGTTAACTTGTTTAGGAATCTGGAAATTCTTCAGGACCTTCACCTGGTGCTAAGTTTTCCCACATTTTACAAAAGGATGCCTTTCTAGTATTCAGGTCATTGTGCAAACTGTCAATGAAACCGCTGTCAGATGGACCGCCAGATCCAAAGTAAGTCATTAGCTGTTCTGCCTGACAGTTTTGGAAGCGTGAAACTTACTGTAAGATATAGTCAGTCTTTGGATTTTTTTTTTTCGTGTCCTATAGGATCCTCAAGAATATATTTTAGGGTTATTTTATTTTAAAAAAATAATGAGTTCCAAAACTGCTTGAGTAGATACCATACACCATTCCTCAAACATACTGACAGAATTATGGAATTGTATCTGGTACATAGTAGGTGCTGAATAAATATTGAATGATTGAATGAACTCTTATTTCAGAGTTTTAAGTCACTTTAAAGCTAGTGTAGCCCTGTTACATGTCGCCTCATGCTAGGCTCCTGAAAGCTACCAGTTGAAAGGTAATAAAACCTAAGAGAAAGATATCTTAATTCATAATGAAAGATAATACATATTCATTAAGGTCTTGAAATGCCCTAAGATAACACCTTTCTCTGTGGGGAACAGGAAGTACTTGGTGATAGGAGTCACTTGTCTGATTCCCATCACACATAGTTTAAATCGTAGGAAAGTACCATTTTTGTAAGTCATAAATCATCAGATACCTTTCATTTCATATGATTCAAGTGTAACTAATTCCTGCTTGAGATTGATTTTGGAAATTATTAGAGAAGCATGCCTTTCTAATATTTCAGCATGATTTATTATAGCATGACAATTTTAGGAGAACTTTCTAGAGAAAGAAACTTTGGAGAAGCCCTGAGTGACTTTCAGAAAAAGATATTGAACTAGGGGGAAATGTAAGCAATATCACTTCATTAAAAAAATTCTAGAGCATTTCAGTTTCTGAGTGTCAAGAAGAAAGACTAGAGACAATTATGATAAAATCTTTATATTTTCATATTTTCTATAGATTTATTTTGTCATATTATACTGATTTAGTGAGAAACATCTTTTAGGCCCAGAAGCATAAAATTCTAAAATCTTCTTAGGCCCAACTCTTCAGAGTCAGAAATGTTTATTGACTCTTCTGTATTTTGAAAATATAAACCTGACAAAAAAAGGATTAAGGTTGTTCAGACTGCAGCATAAACCTGATTGTACCGTATATATTTTATAAGAATATTTTAAAATTTTTTTAAATCTTCTCATTATGAGGGTGAAAAAAAGAACTTATTCAGAAATTGACAATTTTGATACCTCATACAGAATTGATGAAGACCTACTTTAAGGAAGATATAATTTAAGAATTTGGTGGTGTTGCTGAAGGCCATTTTTGCTACGATTTAAAAATGTTATTGACCTTGAATGCCTCAGATGTTTAGTTTTCCCAAATCAAATATAAAAAATGTGATTTGAAAAAAAATGCTAGAAACAGAAAAGTAAAATGCCAAGAATGATAACACAAAAGAAAATATATGAATTTTGAAGAGTGCTTGTGTGGGGGAGAATGTCTATTTAGACCTGAAAAAAGAGTAATCTAGTTTTGGAGAGCTGCAATGGTTACTATGATAAAGTGTGCTTATGAGGAATAATGTAAATTAATTATCCTTCTACTTAGACTTAAGCCAAATATTAGGAAATTTTGTTTGTACATTAAATAAAATCTTTTTGGCCATCAGGGTCATTAAGCATTGGAATTAAATACTGAAGGAGATCAGATTTTTCACGTCTAGAAATGTTCTTTTTCCAAAAGAGAATGTATCGTTTTCTATCTTGAATAATTTTTTTAAATGAGCTTTTTTAACTATATAACTTTTTTTTTTTGTCTTTGCTTCTCTCTGTGCTTTGTGGCCTTGCTAAGATGATGATCTGTGAAGTGTTCTATAAGGTTGAATCATAATTTGAAACTATGCCATGAAAAACCATAGACCTGTGAAATTTCCAGGATCTTTTGCCTATAAAAGTATATGCTGTTGTGTCATAGGACAATCATTTGATCATTTCTTAATTAATCAATGCCTTAGACATAGTAGGTACTTAATAAATGTTTAGATGAGTACATAAATAAATCCATTAATTATTTTGAGCATACCGTGTACAAGGCATTTTGTGAGATGTTGAGGATACAAAGATAAAACACTCATAACAAATCATGTTAGAGCTGCAAGTTTTAACTGCTATTGGAATTGAGCAAAAGGTGGTAAATGTAAGTTAGACTAGGAAATAGTAATAGTGTATAAGCCTTGGAAGGCTTCAACATGAAGGGAGATAACTCCATATTTTTCTATAGCTATTCAGAGTCTTACCTCTAGCTGTTGTAACTTGACTTATTTAAGCATCTTTTGTGTGTGTGATACTATATTTGCTGGACATATTCTTAGATTCAGAGGCATAGCCATCTTGGAACCATGACTATTTCATAATGAGTCATGATATTAGTTCCCATTTTATTTGAATGTGATTCCCATTTATATGAAATTAAGTATTCCTTCTTAGAGTTTCATAGGTTTGGGAATTACTTTACACTCATAACCATAGCCTTCTTAAGGTAGAAGTCAGGAACAGTTAAGTTTACTATATGGTATAAATGTGACTGAATATAGAGTTTGGAATAAATAAAGGAAAGAAGCAGCTGCTAGAGCATTTAAGTGTATTCTGCATTTGTAAAATTGTCCTGGGATCAATCTCCTTGGTTAGTTGGGTTTAAGAAGTCTGTTTCAATGGTTGAAAAATTTTATTTGTGAAATCTGATAATTAAAATGCTAGATAGTGATCAGAAGTATGGCACAGTATATTGATCAGAAAAAAAATTTTAAATTGAAGCTGATGTGTTTTTCATTATAAATAATTTTAGAATAAATGCATCAGCGCTTGTGATAGAAATGTTCTAAAAGCCCCTTTGTATTTCAAAAAAGAAAAAAACACTTTAAATGGTTATTGAAAACGTAGTCTTGAAGTTGTGCTATAACTTGTTAATGCAACCAAAACTTTTTGTTTATTTTTAAGATTTTGAGTAGCATAACTAGGGACAAAGTACATTGGACCTAGTATATACTACATTAAGTGTGGCACTTAATCTAAGAATTTCATTGATTTCTAAAAAGTGAAATATGCTTGCGAAAGAAAGGAATAAGGAACAAATCTTGAAATTATTTTGTTCAAAGGAACAGTAGGTTGATATTAAAAATGTTAAAAATGAGTGGTTGTTTTCCTGTTTTAAAAGTCAGTGAAATTTTGTGGCGCAAGAGTACATCAGAGGAACTACTATAATTAATGTCGAAGCTTATTCATATACTGTACTTCCTTTTTTGTGTTATAGAATTTTCTATTCCTCTCCATGTAAAAGTTTGTGAAGTTATATGGTACCAGGAAATATCTTAGGAACATCCTATTATGACCCTAATGCTAAACTTGTCCATATACTGTGCCTTCTTTTTTACATTTTAGGTCTCATGAGTTACGATCCAAGATTCTTTCATTGCAGTTACTTCTATCCATTCTGCAGAATGCAGGACCCGTTTTCAGGACAAATGAGATGTTTATTAATGCTATTAAGCAGTATCTGTGTGTTGCACTCTCAAAAAATGGAGTCTCATCTGTTCCAGAGGTTTTTGAGCTTTCTCTTTCCATATTTCTAACTTTGTTGTCAAACTTCAAGACGCATCTGAAGATGCAAATTGAGGTATGTTCTGCATTTAGGTATTGTTGGCTATTTCATTTGTTTCATGTTAAATGAGATGATTATATTTGTGTATTGTCACGTACTCTTTTTTCATTAACCCGTTCAACTGACATGTGCCTACGAAGCACTAAGTACTAGATAAGCACTAGGAATGCAAAATCAAATTAAGATGCAGTCCCAGCCTTCAAGGAATTCATGCTAGTTGTATGAATGATTCTAGTTGTCTTGAATTAACTCAGTCCTCACAATAATTTTACCATTTTATCTATATAGTATGTAATAGTGTATGTATGGTATGTAATAATGGTTTTGGTTATCTTAAAGCCCTAAATATATGCTTTGTATACATGGTTTTAAGTTATTTTTGGCACTTTAAAGATGTGATCAAGAAGGATTATATTGTTTGGCTCATATTTTAGGACATTTGAAAATTTAATTTTTGCTTTGCATTTTTTGTAATGTATATATTATACTCCTAAAATTTTCTCCCAAGATCTTTGCAAATAGAAGAACAGTCATGGGGTTCTAAAATACTGCCAGAGACTTAGAAAAACTAAATTAGGGGATCTTCCAAACATGTCTGCATGTATCGTGCAGGTATAAGCAATGCCCGATCTTTTGTTTTCACCTTCAAATAAATCAGCATTTGAAAATGTAGTGCTTTGTTTTACTGACTTAATGGATGCTTTTTCCAAATTGTCATTTGTTGAACTAGTTTTGGTTGGGACATTGTATATTTTGGAAATACTCACTTTTATGCTGGTCAACTTTCACTTCCATATTATGTTTGATATAATATGCAGGTTACATTTTAATTTTAATTTTTTATTCCTAACTCAAGGTAATTAATAACTCATTAACTCATAGAAAAGCTAAATTTTCCCAGAGTTTTGAGATGGTTAAGATAATCATATTATCTTTTATTATTAATTTTCTATAATCTATTTAAATTCATGTAGAACATTATTATGGAATTGAGACAGAATAAGGCCTTGGTATTTTAAATGAAAAGTTTTTCAATTTGGACCATATTTTTGGACAGGAAACAATTTCTGGCGCATACGTGTTGTCAAATTTTACAAGTTTGCCATATGTCAAAGTAATGCAGGACGTTTAACTAACAACAGTTGCAGTTATCACGTGTTTTTTTTCCCCATTATCTTGAAGAACTACAGATAAAAAAAACTTTAAAAAAGGCTTTTCAAACTTCTGCTTCTGTGACCAGCTAAAAGTCTTTCATTTGTTGATGAGGCATTTATTATAAATTGCCATTAGAGAATTTTAAATGCCTTCGTGCATCTTACAGATTTTTAGACACTGAGAGTCTACTTCATTAAGTACTATTTAGTAGATTGTGTGAAATATAAATTCTTACGAAATCAGATATCACAAAAATGATTTAAGTTGGGATTATTACTTTTGTAGAGTAAGTTTGATATATATAATTTTTATTAGCATGAAATTAAAAGGAAATACTTCTGAAATTTCCTGTCTGCTCATAGATGGTAGATTCTTATTACAAATTTTTTTAAAAAAAAGATTAGGTTTATTTCACCATTGTCCATTATGGGGAGATTATGAGGATAAAACAAGATAAGTGTAGATATGCTTTTGAAAATACTAAACATAGTCAAATGCAAGATGAGCTGTATTGCAACTGGAGAAAACCCAACATATGAAAACCTAAATTTGTAAAACAAAGTAGAGATTGTTGTTAATTGAAGATTCATTTTATGAGAATAGTCACTTCAGAGTTTGTGTAATGTTATTTTTCCATGGGTATTAATTTCTGTCTATCTCTGAAAATAGTTTTAAATAGTGATGACAGGTACTGACGATTGGAATGTATATGACTATTGGATACTGTACAACTTTTCAGACCTTGGAAACAAATTAGATTTCCTATTCTTCATTGATTTTTTTTCATGCAGTACCTGCTTTTTATCATAGCTGCCACACCAAAACACAGTTTTATAAAAAGAATGATGTTATTGAAAGGTGGGGAGTGTGATCTAACTGAGCTCATGTGGACACTGAATGTATTTGTCTCTGAATTTTACCCAGAGGGATATCTCAGGGATTCCTCCTGTGAGTGTGCTGTAGCGTTCTGGGCACCTTGGTGCCGTGTTTGGGCACGGTGGCCATACATATTTATTGAATGCCTGCTGTGTGCCATGCAGTGTGGACACAATGCACAGCAAGAAAGTCATGGCCCCTTTAGCGCTTACAGCCTTACAGAAAAGTCTGACATTAAGCAAGTAAGAGATATGTGTTGAATTTTGCAAAAGAAAAGCACATTACAAAGAAACCTCATCCAGTTTGGAGGAAGAAGTCATTAGTCATCTTATATTATAAATATGAATTTCTAGATTCATAATACATATGCTCTATAAATGTTAATACAGTATGTTGTTTTTGGTTTTCTTTGTCTGTCATTCCCTCTTAAGTCACAGTTGCTTTTCCAAAATAAATTTAAATCTGAAAATTCTTAGCTCTTAAATTGAAATTTATTTAATTACGTTGATTAACTGCTTTGTGCTTTACATTATTTGGTGTAAAGAAGAGTGAGAAATAAGTTTGTAGTTTTCAGACAATAGAGATTTCCACTGTGTGAGTAAACATAAAAATACAGCAGTCTGAGAATTAGATCCTTTTTATTGTGTGGGTAACAACATCAGTTCCTTTTCAATCTAGGAACAGTTAGGCTTGCCCAGTACTATAATGTCTGAAAAAATATAACTGATGACCAGAATATAGTTTATGCTCTTTGGGACATTAAAAAATAATTATGAATTATGTTATTTTTATAAATATGTTCAAGAAATTACCACCCCGAGGATCTCCAGCTCTTTGTAGATTGTACTTTGTGGTGGCTGTGACAGTAGACAAAGCAATGTGAGAGGCACAGCACTCCTCCTGCACGGGCTGGTGTAAGTCACCGCCCGGTTGTTTTAGTCCTGACGTTGCAGAGGTGGACTCAGGAGGCGCTGCACTCCAGAGGAGCCTGGATCCTAAGCTTTGGGGGAACTAAAAAGTGATCACACATATGAATTATGGACAATATGTTAAACAGACGTCTTCCCCTACTCACAGGTGTTCTTTAAAGAAATTTTCCTATACATTTTGGAAACTTCTACCAGCTCCTTTGACCACAAATGGATGGTTATTCAGACATTGACAAGGATTTGTGCAGGTATTTGAAATTATCCTCATTATCTCTGTTTTATTATGAGATATTTAAAAGTTAAATATACTCATATAGTAAATTCCTTTTGTTAATATACTGTGTTGTTACAGATGCTCAAAGTGTAGTGGATATTTATGTAAACTATGACTGTGACTTAAATGCAGCAAATATATTTGAAAGACTAGTAAACGATCTATCAAAAATTGCTCAAGGTCGGGGCAGTCAAGAACTCGGTATGAGTAATGTTCAGGTAAGAACTTTAAAATCATTTTCAAATTTAAACTTTGCTGAGGAAGTGCTATGTGTTTGCCTTAAAATATCTCCTATTTGATTCTCCTTATGAATTATTTTGTAGGAATTGAGCCTGAGGAAAAAAGGCTTAGAATGCTTAGTGTCGATTTTGAAGTGTATGGTTGAATGGAGTAAGGATCAGTATGTGAACCCCAACTCTCAGACAACTCTTGGTAAGGTGACATTTTGAGTTATAATTTGTCAGAAAAGGTAAATGATACTTTTGAGGATAATTGCAGATGCCATTAAGCCAGTTTTATGATGTCATTCTTTATTCATTTAGCTGATGAAGAAGCATTGTCTATAAGTTAAATAATGAGCTTTAAAATTACAAATTTTCCAACATAGTTATCTAAACTTTTTTCTTTCTAAATCTTCCTAGAAATATTTTGAATATCATATTAAAGTGAAGCACATTTATGCAACTTTGTTAAGGTATAGAAGAAACATGTAAAAGCCAGGATGTTTTAAGAAGATTGTTTATGGTTGTTTGACATTTACCCTTCCTCAGGACAAACGCCCAACTGCAGGGCCGCCTAGTGTTATCTTAGTCCTTGAAGGAACTAAGTCCCTTTTGAGGCATGAGCTGAGGGCAGAAATCTGCAGGCCTCAGCACTGCGACTGCAAAAGGAACTCCTTTTAATGGTGCAAATTGTACATGTACTAGTGGCACCTGATATTTCTATTAAACAAATATCTAAGCAACATTGAAATACCTTATTTGAGATTTTTTTTTTTTTACCTTTCACATATATTTTTCTTTGACAGAATACTGTATTGGTTTTTCTACTTACAGGTCAGGAAAAGCCCTCAGAACAAGAGACGAGTGAAATCAAACACCCTGAGACAATAAACAGATACGGAAGTTTAAATTCTCTGGAATCAACATCATCATCAGGAATAGGCAGCTACAGTACCCAGATGTCTGGCACTGATAACCCAGAACAGTTTGAAGTCCTAAAGCAGCAAAAAGAAATAATAGAGCAAGGAATAGATTTGTGAGTGTCTGATTTTAAGAAGAAATGTTATTGACTGTCCCTCTGCCTGGGCCACCATGCCCGGGGCTTCTCCACACCCTCGGATTGTTTCTAGTCCCTTCTTATTACCACCTTTCAATAAGTAAAACTGTGTATGGTTCTCTTGTTCTGAGACTTCTTGTGGCTCCTTTTCCAGACCCCCTTGGTCATTGCAGTCTAGCCCAAACACACCCTTGCAATACACAATACATGAATTTTGCTCCACATTTTATATGCTGTTTTGTGCAGTTGTGCAGCTGTGCACTGTTTAGTTCAGTCATAAAATCCCCCATTATATTTCCTAAGCAGGTAACAACTCTTAGCGTTGTTCCTTCATAGGTTTTATATGTTCTCCATTACAAATGTGCTACTCCTGTGATTGATCCATGTTGTTGATTTTATTTGTATATGTTGATAAGGTGATAACATCCCTTTCCAGCCTGGCTCCTCTACCAGACCCCGAGTGTGTGCACTCGGTCTGTGCATTAAGCTGTGTCTCCGCCTGCTTCTGGCTATTTCCTGTCTAAATATCACCATGCTGCTTTCCTCCTGCTTATTACCCACCTACCTCTTCCTTCAAAGAGATGCTGTAAGGAGAAACGAACTCGCTGGCCTTTCTCCATGAATCCAGCTACTGTAAACTGTTAAAAATTCCCTCGTGTGTTTAGCTACTTCTGCTGTAAAGCGTTTCTCCCTGAATCTTAAGCAGCGCTTTTTGATGCATGCCTTTTTCTAATGTTAATATATATTTTTAAAACTTGACAAAATGTACACATATTCTTTGTCATAAAGTTATAAGGTCTCACAAAATTACCTAAAGTCGCCATTAATACTTCATTCTAAATTTTTAGTCAATATTTACAAAGTGTCCTGTGTTCCAGACATTATGCCAGGTCCTGGGAAAACTCGATGAATGAAACAGCCGTTGCTTGTGCGGGGCTCAGGGCCTAGTATGTGTAAACATATTCGTATTGAAATTCTTCTGCGCACTCAGCAAACACTTCTTTGGAGCCTGGGAGTGTGTGCTCAGTAAGCACCATGAAGACACTGGGCCTTGTACAATATTTAAGATTACAGTCTAAATCTGGGCAAAACACTTTTGTAACGGTACAGTGTAATGTCCGTAATGGAGAACTCTGCAAATTTCTGCTGAGGTATGATAACTATTTGAAATACTTCAGGGTAAGAGGGAATCATCACAGGGCCTCAAAGTGGAGGTCTCTCAAGCTCCAGTCTTCCTTGGTTTCTGCTTTGTACTTTCATGGGAATGCTTTTGTGTTGCCACGCTCCCAGTGTACTCTTCCACAAGTGTTCCTTTCATGATACCGCTCTGTCCTGCCCCTCCCCCAGTCTCAGTCTTGGTATGGGCTGTTTCTCTCCTGCATACACCTTAGCATTTCCAGGGTTCTGTCCCTCAGCTCCTTTCCTTTCTTACTTTGTAACTTCTCCTAGATGATCATGTTCTTATCCATGACTTCACAGATACTATCTGTGTACGAACATCTCACAACTCCCAAGTGTTATTTTAACATAAATACCTCTACTGAAGTCCAGACTCACATCTGTAATTGCCTGTTGGGCATCTCCACTGGATATTGCATAGCTTCTTACACTCAGCATGTCTATAGCCAAATTTATCAGTCTCCATTTTCTCCATAATCAACTCGCCAGTACTCCTACCAAAACAAAAGACAAACAGAAAACCCTGTTGTGTCTGTATTTCTTTAGACTAGCCACCCCAGCATGTTACTAAATTTATAAGCTAGAATCCTGGGAGTTACCTTAGATTTTCCCTTTTCATCTAATCTGTCACTAAACCCTATTGATTCTGTTTCCTAAATATGTCTGCAATTTGTTCTCATCTCTCCATCTCCCACAGTCATTCTCTCAAGGCAAACCACCATTTCTTGCCTTGACTAGTATAATTTTAATTGGCTTACCTTTGTTTGGTCTTATTTATTCTATAGTCTATTCTCACCCTTAGCTAGGAGTACTCTTCCTTTTTCTTTTTCGTTTTTTTTTTTTTTTTTAGCTGAGCCATCCCGCCACCTGTTGGCAGCTCACGGCTGCTCAGCTCGGGCTGACTCGAACCGCTGTTGCTCAGAGCTCAAACTCTTGAGCGAGCTCTTAACCAACTGAGCCACTCAGCCGGCCCTTTTTTTTTTCTTTTTTAAAGATTTTATTGGGGAATTGAGGAAGGGGAACAGTGCTGGGGAATTGGGGAAGGAGAACAGACAAGTTGTTGTTCTTTAGTCTTAATTGCAGAGGGCACAGCTAGCTCAGCTCCAAGTACAGTCACCATCCAGCCGCCTGTCGGCCGCTCAGCTCAAGGTGCCATGTTCAATCTTAGCTGCAGTGGGCATAGCCCACCATCTCGTGCAAGAAGCAAACCAGCAACCTTGTTGTGAGGAGCACATGCTCTCACCAGCTGAGCCATCCTGTCACCTGTTGGCAGCTCAGCGGCAGCTCAGCTTGGGCACAGCTCACTGGCCCATGTGGGAATCGAACCAGTGACCCTGTTGCTCAGAGCTCACACTCTTAACCAACTGAGCCACTCCGCCGGCCCAGGAATACTCTTTCTTAACCATCGCGCCACTCAACCGGTCCGGGAGTACTCTTTCTTGAATGCAAGACTTGCTTCTACTTCTCCCGTCTCTTGCTTTTAGAAAATAAAGCCACAACTTTTTGTAATAGCATATAATCCCCTTCATGTTTTGGATCTACTGGCCTCTAAGCTTCATCACCAGCCACTTCTTTATCTCACCTCATTGTTCCAACAATGCAGAGCTGTTTATTACATCATGATGTTTTATGTTTTTGTGTATTAGTATGACCTTTTCTTCTCTGAGGTGTTTTTTCTTAATGTTTATAAAAGATGTAATCATTTTTCAAAGCTCAGTTCTAGCCACCTTCCTCAGGAAACATATCATGACCATCTCTATAAATGAGTCATTTCTTCTTCTGTGTTATCTTTTTACTTTGGGAATACATTATTTGTTGCATTTTTTACTATTATAATTTTTAAAAATCATATTTTAGAGTGAGAGCTTCTGGAGAGCAGGGTTTGTGCTGATCTCAGTGAAAAATGTTTGATTTTAATTTGTGTTTATGGGGATGGTTGACTTAGGACTTGAAGGGACTCATTAGGAGGACAGAACAGGGAAGGGCCTTTCAGGCAGAGAATGGCACATGCAGCAGCACAGAGGAAAGGGAGACATTTGAGGGCTATTGTTAATCATAGCAGGGGCAGTGGGGGTCCTCTCAGGAGGTGAGATGAAAGCACTGAGCTGGCTCCAGATTACAGAAGGCCTTATTCTCCACTTAGAGGAGGTTTGTCTGGTTCCTCTTGGCATTGGCATACTGTTGAGGGGTTTTAAGCAGAGGAGCGGCAGCAGCAGATTTCTGTTTCAGGATGATGACTGCCAAGCAGCCTGAAGGATGGATTAGAATGTGAGCAAAACAAGAGACCATTTAAGAATGGTCTTGCATCACTGCATAGATGGTGTAGGGGCCTGACCACCGCACTGTATATCTGAAGCTGATGTTGAATAATATTGTATGTCAACTACAATTATATATACATATAGTCATGGGAGGTGGATTAGAGTGTGGGAATGGAGTCAATGGAATTGTAATAGATAAGTATGATATCGGGTGTGGGAGGGCAGTAGATTGGAAAAGGGGGTTGTTTCTGTATGAGGGGTGAAAAGGATAACTATTGCATTGTTCTGTACACCTGAAACTACTACTAATAATAAAAAAGAATGGTCTTGCTATACCCACGTGACAGGTGATGAGGTACCAAAGTATTGGTGCAATAAAACTAGGAAGTAAATGATTTGGAAACAGAGGTGACATTTAAATTGGATCTTTAAGCCTGAAGGAGAGTTCCCCAGTGTGGAGCAGGTAAAGGGCATGCAGAGGAAATGGACTGCAAATGTATTCATTCTGTTTAGCGAATGAGTTTGGATATGTGGGAGTAGATGAGAGAGAGGGGATGAGAAACTGGAGCCACACTGAGAAAGGTTTTGCATATAAGTCTGATCAGTTTGGACTTTATTTTGAAAACTTTATGGAGAGATTCATATATATACATACATATATACATACATATATATATATATTAGTATATATGTATATATGAGTATATATATATGGCTGTCAGCTTGTGGCTAAAAGTCACTGGAATTCAAGTTCTGTACTTTAAAAGCAGGCAACTAAGTGGGTGTATTATAATAAGCCAAGATAACTTAAGCAGTGAGAAGAATGTGTATATTAAAAGTATGAGATATTTAAAGTATTCGTATCCTTACTCAAAGTTCATCTACTACACAGCATTATCTCATATAGTCTGTGAAATGATCCATATCAATGATAAAGATGCCCTTCCATTTGAGACTCTTTTCTAAAGAGAAAAAAAAATACATTTTGCATAATGTAATGTGTTTTGGTCTTTCATGCATTGTTATATTAAATAAGTTTCTATTTTCTAAGTGCTATTAGAAAATTAATTTATTGCAGTTTAAGGTCTTTTTCTAGCGCTTTTCTGTTTCTAATCTTCCTATTAACTTTAACACTATATAGATTTAATAAGAAACCAAAGAGAGGAATACAGTACCTCCAAGAACAAGGGATGCTTGGCACTACACCTGAAGATATCGCCCAGTTCTTACATCAGGAGGAAAGATTAGACTCCGTAAGAGTGCCATTTTTGTTCATTCTAACCTTTCTATGCAATTCTTTTTTTTTTAAGATTTTTATTGGGGAATTGGGGGGATGGGAACAGTGCTGGGGAATTGAGGGAAGGGAAACAGACAAATTGCTGTCATTTTGTTCTTCAGTCTAGTTGTGGAGGACATTGCTTCACTGGCCCAAGTTGGCACCATCATTGCACTCTTCCCGGGTGAGGCAGATGAGT